TCCTGTGGGGTGGGGACCACCTCCAACCTGCCAGATCACTTTATTTGGCTTGCCACAGCCCAGATTGGAGAAGGGAACATCCAGGGGAGAGGGCCCTGCCTGCATGTGGCTGTGTCTCACATGACATTAGCAAGAGCTAACAGGCTGGAGCAGGAAGCTGTGCCGTATAGGCTCTCCCCAACTCAACCTCCCTGTGACCCAGCAATCTCTTGGTGTCAGCTGTCAGGGGGTACAGTGGGGGGGCATAGAAGTTACAGCAATCTGCTGAGTCTGGTATGTGCATTATAATTCACCAAAGAATGTCATGTGAGGTCCCAAATAAAAGCCAGTGTTACATTGGTTATCCATATTAGTGTGAAACACATGTATAAGGAGTTAAGTGTATACAATATTATAAAGTCCGTGTCTAGGGACTGACACAGTGAAGGTTTCTTGTCAGACAAATGTTTACCTAGCTGATTGTTCATGTGTCAAATAAGTATTGTACAGTTCACAAAGGGTCTCCTATTACTAGTCTGTACTGAATGTTAATGAAGGATTTTGAAAGTTTCAAAGAAAGAAAATAACAGTAAGAGAAAAATCAAGATAGGGTTTTCCTTCCCTTCCCTGAAGTGCACATCAAATATTTGCTCTGCTATATGTGGGGGATAAAGAAGACATCCAAGAACTCTTCAATGAGGAAGTAAAAGGACAGTGAGTTTGCTTCATGAAAGAGGGAGTTGTAGTCAGGTTTGGTTGAAAACACTGGCGAGAACTTTGGGCGAGAAACTTCTTTAGACCGGAGGCTAACCTGTTAAGTTTAGTATCTAGAAAGCAAGTTATGATTTTGTTTTATATGTAAGCCTTTGTTTTCAATGTTCTTACTATCCCTTGAATTGCTGTTCTTTGATAAACTTACTCTTGTTTTCACTATAAATACAATCTAAGTGCTGTGGTTTTAAGCAGAGATATGATCCAGAGTTGAATCTTGCAAGCTGGTGGTGTACTCTTCCTTTGGGAAAAGCAGGCCTGGTATTTCTGAGAGTGTTCAGTGGATAAGTGGCTGGACGCTGTGGGGAACGGTCTGAGGACTTGGGGGTTGGTGTATGCCTACCGCTATCTGTAGAGAGAGAGTGAGGCCTGGAAGGCAGTGCTTGTGCTGCCAGAGGCTGTTGGTTTCAAGAAGCTGGTCCACAGTGGGCACAGACAAGACTGCATCACATTAAGGGCAGGTAGTGGTGAGGTGCCCCACAACCATGCGTACCATAGGGGGGGTGTCACTGCCCGGAAGTGGGACCTGACCACTTCCCCACCTCTACCCCGCGTCATACCCCCACTGACCCACCAAAGTCAAATCCTCCCAGCGGGCCAATGACATCGCTCAAGATGGTGTTCAGAAAAGAAAACGTTTATATAGTATTTTTTATTTTGAATTTCTTAGAAATAATAAAACTGTCATACAACTTTATACAATTCTTTGCCTGCCAGAGAGTTTTTAGTGTTTGCCAGACACCTGACAACGCTTCAGTTCTGTCAGTTTGTTGATGTTTGGCCTCAGTGACTAAGCAATTGAAACCTTCAGGATTGCAGCAAGGTGTGCATCAGATAGTTGTGTTCGGTATTTTGACTTGCTTATATTCATTGTGGGGAAAAAAAGTGCTGCTGCCTCCATGGCTGACTCTGCCCGGCAACTAATGATGCTGCTTCCATGGCTGACTCTGCCTGGCGACTAGTGATGATATCTCTTTCCCTCTCCCCCAGCCAACGGGAGCTGCGGGGGACAGTGCCTGCAAGCAGACATTGCCGGCCACGTGTCTGCATTTGTCTCTCCTCCATAGGCCGCAGTGGGGAGGTTCTCGGGCCGCAGATGGCCCGCAGGCCGGGACTTTGAGACCCCTGCTCTGTAGGAACCAAAACGCTTTTTTTTTTTTTCTTTTTAAACAAAATAGGGTATGTTCAGTTGTTACAATAGGAACAAATTCCTATTGTATCTTTATATTCCATTTTCATATAACATCACCAAGAACCATGTAAAAAGAGAGACAATGAGAATTTTAGCCAAGTATGGTGACTCATACTGATAGCAAGACAAAATGATGTTCTAAATGCTTTTAACATAAAAAGGCAAAGGTGCAATTTAAGAGCAGTAGTAATGCACTGAAAGTTCTGACACAGAGAAAGGATGAAAGAATGTGATTTGTGGGATCAAATGAACTGGGTTTAGTTGTGTGCTGAAGCAGATTGAAATTTAAAGTAAGTTTGAAAATTAGTATTTTAAATTGAGAAAGGGTTGAAAATTGTCTCAAAAGCTGAAACTGGATTTTGATGACAAATAGAAGCAATAAACATGGGCAATAAACAAAAATTAATGGCCGATGATCTGTCCATGACTTACACTAAAAATACCTATGACTAAATCTTGCCGGGGGAGCTGCTGGGGTGGGTGCCCTGGGCCAGTGGACTGCAGCTGCTCTGGCCAGCCACCCGGGGACCGCTACCGGGGGCTCGCCCAAGCAGTAGCTGTTGTGGGTATCTCCGGGGCCACTTGAGCAGCTGGCCCTGGAACAAGCTGCTTGGGTGGCCTTGGGGTCAGCCACACTGGCTGCTGCAGAAGTCATGGAGATCGCAGAAAGTCATGGAATCTGTGACTTCCACAACTTCAGTGATAGCCATGGAGCCCTAATAATGACGTAATTCCACAACAGTAATGAGAAGCATGTACAATGGAAATAGTGGTTATATGTGCTGTCACAGGTAGCATACAACTGAGAAAATAATAAAAATGGAAAAGAACTCCCTCTAGTGAAGAAAGAAGAAAAAAATTACACTGAACACTCTAAACCTGTAGTGTCAAATACTTGATATATATGTACTATATGTTATCAGAGATGTACCATTCCGTAAATTTCTGTGTGAACTGGGTTCTCATGAAAACTGGACAAATAGCAATGGGTCAGTGAGGAAGAGGTGATCACGCAGGCAAATTGGGCCAGGCTATTCAAGGCATTGGAGATAGTAACTATCACCCTGGCTTTCACCTGGAAGTAGATTGGCAGACTGTGTGGTGCACAAGTTACCCTGAGCTGAGGGAGGAACTTGCAAATGGGACTTGGAAAACCAGTTTTGGAACCACTGCTGGGATTTAACACCAACATCCAAATGCCACTCATAATATCTCCTAGGGCTACTTCTGGGGTTGTTCCGTTTATTTATACAATACTCCTTGCTGAGGGCTATGCCTGAAGTTATAATTAGCCCCAAATGCTAGGATTATGCATTCAGAAATGGAAACTGCTCTTTTAAAAATATGGTCCATGATCTTTATTTTATCAGTGTGACAGCCTAATTTTTTGAGCATTTTGTAAAAGGTGTTGGACTTATTTTGATAAAGGAAAAATACGCAAGAAGAATGAGGTTAATGTTTTTGAATATTTCCCCTCCAGAATTAATAAACAGTTACATAAGAACTCCATGTGGGCACCTGCATTCATTACTTTCCCTTTTGCACTTGTTAAGAGTATTAAAAGTGACAGGCTGTGTTTTCTGATAATGATCACATTTAAAGCAAATGCAAACATGTTCATCCAATTTTCATCGGGTCATGTACTATGCTATCCCTTTATTGTCAGGCAAACAAATATATCTCATTGTTTCAGAACATTAGAGTCTGGAACCCTACTAATGTACGTATTTGCTGAATTAGCATTCACATTTCTTGTCTGTCATCCATCCAATGATTACAAAGATTTAAAAAAAAAAGAGGAAATGGCCAGAATACAGGGAAAATCATGAAGCTAAATACCTATTTGTGAATATTTGGATATATGCACACTAAATGCAGCTAGGTTTAAATTGGCAAGGAAAGTAGCATACAGTATTGGAGGCTTTTCTTATTGAGTACTACATAAATGCCAAGTTTAAAGTGTTGTTAAAAGCTCTCTAACCAAAAAAATATATCTACATTTTCCTAGTGCCAAATTCTATCAGGAAATGTGTATATCTACAGGTTTCTAAAAATTGTAGTTAGACTTAGTGAAAAGCTCTTCAGATTCCTTCCTTGACAATGAAGAAGCATGGTTGACAGAACATGCTGTCCCAGGCAACCTAAAAAAGTTGGATTTCATGGAGCCAGATCCTCAGATGATATAAATCAGCATCACCCAATTAATTTCAGTGGAGCTACACCCAATTTACTCCAATTGAGGATCTGGCCTGCACTTTCTCTCAAACAATTTGCTGTCCAGCCTATGCAATCCTGTTCTTTCTGTACAGAACAGGAAAAGGAGTTGTGGCTTGAGGAAAAGATCGCTCTACTTCCATAGACTTATTTGAAAGACTAGTGAGTCCTGGGAGTTTGGGACAATACTTTGATAGGGGATCAAAATGTAGGAAGTCTAAAGTTGCAACAGGCTCACTGCCTTAAAAAGTTCAAAATTACAATTAGCTACTGAGCTCCAGGAAGAGTGAAACAAGTTAGGTCCTGTAGTTCTGGCCTAAGAAGCTTAAAAAATTGCTGACACCTTATGGAAAACTTTAAAAAGTTGTTTATGGACTAGCCCTTCCACTTATATAATATTCTATATATAATTACTTTATTATTGGGACAAAGGTACACATAAACTACCAGTCTTTGCTTCCTAAGAATTCTGTTCATGCTGCTTATTGCCCATTTGAAGTCCTAATCCTGTATTTCTTTTTTGCTGTGAATGTAATTAATGTCACAACCAGCGGATTGTGACCTCAAGTAAGGAAGCATCAGTTGGAGCCAGTGAACTCTTTGGCCCCAGTCCTGTCAGTTGCCCCACAAGCATCTACTCCATCATCAGATACTAGCAGGATAGGAGTCTAAGGAAGCAAAGATCTGTTTCCATGTAAATGCCTTTAGAAATAATGGCTATGAAAACTTCAGACCATGTATTTTACTGTCAGATGGCATTTTACTAAATGGAATGATTTAAGTTTTTCCATAAGGCACTAATTGTTCATTATCAATTTTTAACTCCAAACAACTTATCCTTCTCCTCAGTTGTCCTTTCTCTCCTCCCCTTCTCTCTGCACCCCTTATCTTCATTTTTATTTGTTTAAGTTAGGTGAGTTCGGCCTCCCCTGCTGGGTCTACGGCCTAAACTGCCTCTTCAGTTGCTCATGCTTCCTGTTTGACACCTCCTGGCTCTCCCCACCTTTTTCCCTTTCTCTTTCATTGCTTTCATTTCCTGACTTACATTTTGGGATAAAATGAAGTGCTTTTCCCCCCTCTTTCTCTGTAAAACAATTGTGTTTGCAGAAGCTCCTGT